ACTATAAAATTTGTTTGTATATTAAGTTACAAGGTATTCTTACTCATAGCACACACATTCATAAAAAGAAAATATCATCATTAAAAATAGAATGAAAACTTTTGAAGTTTTTCATTGTATATATGATTTTATACAAACTATAATTTTATATTAAAATTATCAGTTCAAATCCAGTCTAGAAAAAGAGCATTTGATAATATTTTTTCTTTAATTAGTGATTTAATTTAGATGATAGTGTTTTCATACTGTAAAAATTAAAGAATTTATCAGAGGCCTAAATTTATTAAAACACATCAGTTTGAATTATATGTGTAGTTCTAATTTGCTCATGTTTGTTATAATTGTTATGAATTGTTCATTGTGCTGAATATGCTATCTCACCTATTTCTAAGCCAGTACCTTGGCAGAGTTTGACTCAAGGCAGCTTTGGAACACAGGAGAAATAATATAATTGTGTGTTCCCTGCTGTTACTTTTAATCTAATTATGAAGTTTCCTTTTCCAGAGAGTCATGGAGGGGTTGGAAGGGACTCCAGGATGCGGTCTAGTCCAATCCTTCTGGTCAGAGCAGGGTCAGGTACAGCAGGGTGCTCAGGGTTGTATCCAGGTTTTTGGAGTCTCCAGTGATGGAGACTCCACAACCTCTCTGGTAAACAAGCTCCTGAATAGTGTTTGACCAGCCTCAAAGTAGAAGTTTATTCTTGGATTTTAAAGGGAATTTCCTATATTTCGTTTAGTTCTCCTTGCTTCTTGTCTTGTCACTGGACATCGCCGAGAAGAGTCTGGTTCTCTCTTCTTTACTCCCTCCCACTGCATATTTGTATGCATTGACAAGAGCCTGCACAAGCCTTCTCTTTTTTGGGTTGAACAGTCTGAGGTCTCTCAGCCTCTCTTCACATGTCCGAAGTCTCAAGCCTTAGAGGGGAGGGATCATATCTCTCAACCTGCTGACAATTCTGTTTCTAATGCAGCCCAGCATTCTCGTGGCATTCTTTGTCACAAGGGCACATTGATGGCTCATGGTCACCTTATTCCATAACAGAACCTATTCTTCAAACTTGCTTTGCAACAGTCAGTCCCCAGCATGTACTAGTGCATGACGTTATTCGTTCCCAGGGACAGGACTTCACGTTTCCTTTAGTTGATCTGCGTGACGTTCAGCCTGCTGAGGCCCCAGTCAGCACAACTTTAAAGAGATAATCAGTAGTGGCTTCACAATAATATTAGGCAACTTATTCCCTCTTTGCAGCATCCTGAACTTCACCATCTCATACTCACTGCAGCCAGGGCTACTCCTGACATTCACATCCTTTCTTGGTTCTTGTTCATAAAAGTATGAGGCACAGCAGAGCTACCTTCATCATCTCCTTGGTTACCTATGTCAGGAAGTTAGTGCACTCTGGAAACTTCCTGGATTGCTTGTGCCCTGCTGTGCTGCCCTCCACAGGGTTAAAATCCCCATAAGGACCAGGCCTGTGAATGTGAGGCTGTTTCCAGCTGATTTCATTGACTTCTTGACCCTGATCAAGTAGTCCAGACACGAAGTATAATATTGGTAGCTGTGGGCTGACACTGGACTTTTCACCAATCATGACCAAATAACTCTCACTTGGCTCCTTGCTTGAGTGAGTTTTCTCTATTCCTGCTGCTCTCTCGTATAAAGGGCATTTATATAGTCACGGGGGAAACCACAGAGTGATAGAGCAGGGCTCTTGCTGTGTGGAGATGCTTGTGCTGTTATATCTAGTTGAAGTTAATGATAGTAGGGTCTTCCTTTTGTGAAAAGATTACACAAGCTTGATGTCACATACCTTGATGGTTTGATTCCACTCCCATCCTGAGTTCTCTAACAGCTTCAGGAAAGCATCAGGACCAGATCCATCTCACTATAAAAGAATCCTGTTTACTACAGGTTCATTTATCTTTTTGCTATTACCGGAATGTCTTTGATGCAAAATCCCAAGACCTCATTGCTGTGCCTTTTCAAGGGCAAGAAAACGAATTCCTCCAATGTACAATGTGACTGACAAGTTTTCAGCTGCCCCAGATGCTTTCATTCGTTCCAGCAAAAAGCCTTAATTAGAGCGGGGGAAATATATTGGCCTTTTGTCCATCTTAATCACTCCAGGTTCATGGGACCACAGAGAGACTACTTTTATGAATAGGAAAAAGAGAGGGCTGTTTGTCATTAGTTTTCTGAATCTTACATTTGTGTTTCTCTCCTGTTAAGTTTGCTGTACCTGTTCTGAAATTGCTTTGCATCACTATTTATCTTGTTTTGACATTTATTCGCTTACCGTTTTGTTCATCCACAGTTCAACAGCACAATTCAGAAAAACTGGATTTTTCATTAATTTTTCTTTCTTTCTCCTACCTTTCATTTCCAGATCTCCCTGACATCTCTTTGCATAATTACTCCTTCTTTTTAAATCTGCAAGAAAGGTCTTTCTTATTGACCTTAATTTTTCCCTCATGTCCAAAACATTTCCTAATATTTTTCATTTGATCTTGCTATTTCTTTCAGTGTAGAATGCCTGACATCTGCTTTTCTTTACAGTTCTCTCTTTCTTCCTCTTCCTTTCACTTTCTACCCACTTTCCTTTAGTTCTCCTTTTCTACTTATCACCACTATTGAATTTCTTTATTTTTGTCTTGCACAACTACCCTTTCTTCCTTTAAATTGCTCTCTCTTATTTTGGGATTTGTTTTTCCGCTGTTAATCCTTTCTTTGAAGGTGCATTTAGGATTAAATCAGACTGATTTTAAAGCGGAAAAAGCAAGTCATGGACATGTAGGAGGTTCCACCTACTCAGAGACAGCACTCTTTCCCTTAGTTTCACTTCTAAGGTCCTTTATGCCACTCTGAATGGTTTTTGTCTTTTTTTTTCTTTTTTTTTTTTCTTTTTTTTTTCTTTTTTTTCCCTTCTCTGTGGCTTTATTAGCATAGACTATCCCAATCTTGCAATTGGGGTTTTTTGTTTGTTTGTGGTTTTGTTTCTCCTGTTTGGTTGGTTGGTTGGTTTGTCTTTGGTTTTTTCCTCTCTTGTTCCCATGTCACTCCTTGTACTTCCTCCATTCAGGTCTTATTTTCTTGCACACTTCCTACCTATTACTATGTATTTTGAATGGGTGGCTCTTTACATTTTCTTAGGTTTCTCTTTTCCATAATTCTATTCCTCTGTTTCACATTTTTTTTCTTAGAGTAGACAGTGAGACTCTTTTTGCATGTTGGAAAGAACCAGTCCCAAAAGTTCCTCACCTCACCCGGAAACAACTAGTGTGGAAGAATGATTATGGTCTAACGTGTTATCTATATGAGGTGTCGCATCATGATGTGACACAGTATCCTCCAGGCTCAGACCTCACTCTCCCCAAATGACAGCAACAGATAGATAAGGACGGTCCCAAAGTACCCTTCCTTTCTAATGGGCATGTGCTGTTCTTTCTGTCCATTTTGAAGTAGAATCCTTTCTGTAACAAACTTACAACCTCATCAGGCTCACTGCACCTTAGGAGATGGTATATCAGATTTTAAAAAATTTAACAGTGAACAGAAAAGAGCTGGTTGATGTCTTCAGCATTGGCTAAGAGATAAAGTATATGCATACTGTTATGTCTGAGTGAGCAGTTACATATTTGAGGGTGTACACTTTGATTTTGATGGCATTTACTATTTATTTAACAGACCATAACTGCTCCAAACAAGCCATTATAGTCAGTTATGAATATCTGAACTTAAACACTTATTGAAAAGTGGATTTCTTGATGTGATATATGGAGTCATTAAGTTCTACAATATAAATACTTTGTGCTGTCCTTAGTTTGCAGATCACTAGAGCAGTTGTCTGCTCTGAGCCAGTCTCTGCGCTGTGCATATACGTTGTCATAGGAACTGATTTTAAAGTTGCAGAGGAGAATAATTGCTATGGAGCATCAAATTCAAAGTATCAATAATATGAGCATCATGACTTCTTTCTGATTAGTTAAGTCTTAGTTTTTTTTTTAACTTTCCCTTAAAAATAATTATAATAATGCTTTTGGGATATTTGAAAAAAAATATGTAAGGAGTTAATTTTTACTGATTCAACACTGATAAAATTTGTAGGTCTTCTAAGTGAAGGAAAGTCTTCTGGTTTGGTTTTAATAAAAGAAATATGAGGAGTAATTTACTGTGTCATATACTTTTGGAGTAGTAGCTTCACAATGCCAACACCTAATCATCTCCCAACACTTCTGTAAAAAACACAGATTAGCAGCATGTGTGATTTCTTCTGAAGGCCTCCAAGCAGCTTCTTCACAGTAATAATATATGGCCATCAGTAAAGCCTTTTTCCTGCAGCTTTAATCTGCATGCATCTTCTAGACCATGGTCTTCAGGGACGCTGAAGACTGTTGCTTTTTTTAATCTTCATACTTGTGATCAAAGGGGTGCTTCTTAACCGTAGCCTTTCTCATTACTAAAAGGTTTTAAAAATAATTTTACTTTATCTGTGTATAAATGCTCAGGCATCATTTATAGGGGCCCTAAAGTGAGTTATTTGAGCCACACAAGTTTTCTTATAAAGCTTGAGCTTCAGCAATGACCTTTAAAAGAAATTATTTCCTATACACTGAATATGTCTGGTGTGCAGTTAACTCTTTTCCTAGCAGCCCATAGGATGATGTATTTTGGATCTGTGGCTAAAATTGTTGTTAACACATCAATGACTCCTCATCAGTAGGCCAATTAACAGGTCAACCCACTGTAACCATGACAGGCAGGCTAAGGGAAAGTCCAGTAATCTTTGACAGAATTGAAAATCTCTTGCCACAGAGTAATAAAAGTGTGTGGCTATCAATTCAGTGCTGTCAGCGCCACATGTCAAATAATTATTATGGTCAAGGAACCTGTTTTGTATAGTTTTAACCTATTACAGATTACATGACCTCTCCTAGATGTGTGTGTTGCAGAGCACTAAGTGATTTGCTACTTAATATCAACTTTTTCTCTCTTGTTTTTAGCCCCTTGTGAAGCCAACGCATTCTTTTGCCATAGTAATATGTGTATAAATAATACACTGGTCTGCAATGGACTCCAGAACTGTGTATATCCCTGGGATGAAAACCACTGCAAAGGTAATGTGTAGGATTGAAAAAGCCAAATCATTTACACGGCATGAGAGACAGCAAACGATCCTGAGTTTCTTGTAAAGTATATGCCAGTTGTGTGAAAACTCAGGAAGAGTAATTCAGGAGAAGCGTACATCAAGCAATAGAGAAAACAAAGGGAGGCAAAAAATGGCAATGGATTTTACTTGAAGTGTTTACATTCATTATGTGTGGTGTTGCATTGGTTACATTCTTCTGTCTGGCTATACGCTTTTGGGAGGCTTTCTGATCATTTGGTCTCTGTTTCCCATACAGTCTAAAGTATAATTAAAAGTAATGTTTCAGTTCATTTGTCATAGGTACTTTTGTAGTGGAGTAATGGATGGGTAGCAGGTGTCTTTTAGCTGAGTGCTATGCCCATAATAGCCCTTGTGGTTTTAAAAACCAAGGTGAAGTGAAATTAACACTGCAAGAAAACAAAGAAATCCACCTATAATCAAGAGAAATTGAAGAGCAAGAAACAAGGACAGGAAATCAGGTGTAATGTCTGTTTCATAGGGAGGGAGCGATGTTCCTAACCATGTGTTGACAATGGTTTCTACATGTAGTTGTGTTTCTGGGGAAAAAAAAAAAAAAAAAAGTCAGCATCTGTGTTGTCTTCAGGGAAAGAGCTTAACTAACTTACATTGCTGGCTTGGGAGACAGTTTGCTTCCCTCCTGCCCACCCCCATCCACCTCCATCCCCCTCGATGCAGATTTGTTCCTGGAAACATGGGATATGCCAAATTTAGGAACCAATCAAGAAAAAATTCAGAATGAGGTGGATTAGTACTCAGCCCATAAGTCTGCTGAAGCCTGTAAAATCCTGACAAGCAGTGCAAGAGGGTAAAACACAAATGAAAGCATACTTCAAAAGAACACAGCTAAACTGTGCCATAGCATAATATTCTTCAAAGAAATTAAACATACAACTGGGAAATAATTATTCATTCTGTAGTTCTTCAGAACAGAGGACAACAGAAAACCTTCATGACTCTTTTAATTTCCAGAATGATTTTCGTCTTTCCTTTACCAAGGATCTTTTTACTGGGTCTTGTGCGTTTATCCTCTTTTTTTTTCTAACTACGAAAAGAAGGTTTGCTGATGCCAGCGAAAAAAAAAGGTTGTTTGCTGCAGTGCTGCTTTTTCTCCAGAGTCTGTGTCAGTCAGTTAGAAAAACACTGGGTAAGAGTAGGCAATGGAGAGTACTGAAAAGTTAATTTTTGGAATCTAGCAGATTCTGAAGAGATGGATGTTACTGTTTTGGTGCCAATAACTTTCATTTCAAAGGCTTTTTGTTAAGTTCTTTGGTATATTTTAGGTTGCCAAGAAAAATTACACTAAACTGGGTGTTGAAACTTAATCACAGTTGTCGAGCCTTGCTATGCCTGAGAGAGAAGGATGAGAATGCTTTCAGCTGGAATTTCTACAAGGCTCAGTCACCATCTCATGTGCCTGCAGCCATCTGAAAGCAAATCACAGAGAGAGATGCACAACTGTAGGGTGACACTGGTTTTGTTTTTATTATTTTATTGCATATTTTTGTTTATCATCATTCACAATGCAGAATTTGCTGTCTAACCTACTAGAGACCTTTGAGTAAAGGGTAGTAGACATGATCAGCTCTTGTGTATTTATGGGTGTTTAGAAAAGTTTTGGTAATGAATAGAAAAAAAAAGAAATAACTTGCACCAATTTGGTTTTTTCTTTTCTAAAATCTCAGTTTGAATAACTTTTCTATTTTCTCCTGATTTAGCTTTTTCATTGAGGGCTGTCAAAAGTCCCAGTCAGCTCACAATTACTGGGACTTCACCACAGTTCACAACGCAAAGAAGAATTTCTTTTTAGATCCTGTAAAATCTTGTTCTTTCATTGGTCCTAATGTCCTAGTTGCATATGTTTACTGAAAGGGACAGAAAATAATGAAGAGAACATCTGTAACAGTCTTGGGGGCTTTAGCAGGCAAATGGAGTTCAGAGGTGACACTGAAGCCATCTGCTTGTTACGGTGGTTGCTTTTTATAAAAAAGCATATATAATTCTTGCCATTAATTAAGCTTGCAATATACCCTGAATAAATAACTTTCCAAGTGAATAGGCACACAGAGGACTTGCGTGTTGTTTATTTGGCTTTCATGAATACCTGATTTCTTTCTCTTTTCTCTTTTGTTGATGAGATTGATTAAGTGAACTCAGACATATACTAGGCTCAGCTTTGTAGTAATCTGTGAACTCATCATGATTGTTTTTATTCCTGAACTGCAATTAATGCTGTGCCTCTTTTTTTTTTTTCCTACTGTCACACAGAAAAAAGAAAAGCTAACCTATTGGACCAACTTACCAATACCAGTGGGACTATAATTGGGGTGACTTCTTGCATTGTGATCATCCTCATTGTTTTATCTGTTATAGTACAGATCAAGCAGCCTCGTAAAAAATTTGTCCAAAGGAAAACAGACTTTGATCAAAATGTGTTCCAGGAGGTGTTTGAGCCTCCTCATTACGAATTATGCACCCTCAGAGGGACAGGGACTACAGCTGACCTTGCTGATGTTGCAGATGACTTTGAAAATTATCATAAACTGCGGAGATCCTCTTCAAAATGCATTCATGACCATCACTGTGGATCACAAGTGTCTAGCATTAAGGGCAGCCGTAGTAACCTCAGCACAAGAGATGCTTCTGTCTTGACAGAAATACAACCCCAGCCTGTAAAACCACTTGTTCAACCCATGAACAGGAGAAATATCCTTGTCATGAAGCATAGCTACTCACAAGATGCTGCAGATGCGTGTGAGATAGATGAAATTGAAGAGGTACCAACCACAAGTCACAGGCTGTCCAGACATGATAAATCTGTTCAGCGGTCAGTATCAATAGATTTTTGATGAAGACTATTGTGTAAGGACTTGATTGCCCAAACATACGCCCTCTTTATTCAGTAAAGACATTTTTTTTCTTCTTTCTTTATTGTTTAAATTTCTGTTTACTGATAGTACATACCATTACACTATTTCTCTTCCTGTCTCTCTCTCATCTATCCTCCTTGGTTCCTGAAGGATCCTGTATCTCAGCTTTACGTATCTGCTTTATTTCTTCCTTTTATTTTTACTATTTTACACATACCCACGTGCATACATACACAGACCAACACAGAACAGGTACAGTTTTTAAAAACCAAAGAAGATTGTGTGAATTTAGTTTTGAAAAAGCCACATATCTGTGGTTTCCTTGTAACTGAGGTGGCCTTGAGTATAATCCACTGTTGATCTAACCATCTCTAAATCAATACATTAATAAATAAAAAATACATGTATCCATTTTGGTGCATGACACAAGAATGGGAATCACAATCCTGGGGTAAGGAAACTCCTTTTATCTCAAAACATTAACTTTTATATAATGAATAAAAATATTTTCAAATTTTAATGTATCTGTTCCATTATTAGTCACAGTATTTTTGTTTGTCATACTAAGATAGATAGACAAATTAGAACATGAGGCATCATAGTGAACTTATATATTTACATATAAGAATGAAGTTAAAAGGAATCTTTGCTTTCAATAAAAAAGCAAAGTTAGCATGATATTTTTAATAAAAGAGCTATATTTTCAATATATTGCACTTTGACTGTAAATATGAATGATTAAAAGTTTACAAGTAAAAGAAAAACAAAACCATTTATGAACAATTTATTTAAAAACCACACATAACCTTTTTTTATATATTTTGTTTTCTCCTGCATGCATTATTTATGTACTTCTTCTCTTGACTGTTTACATGCCCTCCATATTTTCTTTGCACATTAAGGCATTTCTGTCTCTTTTAAAAAAAAGTTATTTGAAAATTTTAATCTAACTGCATGCCTATGTAAATTGCTTCGTGAATATTGGTCAGATTATCAAAGTGTACTGTTTATTAAGTATGTATATACATATATTTCTTCTTTTCTATGCAAACACTATTATTTTGAATGAAATAGCCATAACATTCCAGGTTCTGCCTCATTGGGTCTCTAAGCAAACATGAGTCTGAGTACAACACCACTAGGGTCTAAGAGACAAACCTGAGGTAAGTAAACTTATCTATACAAAAATTGAATCATCTGTTGCTTTCCATTTCATTAGTTGTTTTTCTGAAATGCTTATTAGGTCTCAAACTGTATATCACCTTATATGGAGAGAGCTGGGGTTGAATACTAAGGAAACTGAAAGACAGATGACCACTTAAACATTGCAAACTAAGCAAACTTTGTTACTTGCTTATTCTTGACAGTGCTGTAATCAGCCCCACTAAATTCAGTCTTCATTCAAAACACATTATAAAGTCATGGCTCTTCTGTTTCTTTTTTCTTATTTATGAAAATAAAATTTAGAGTCCCAGCACGTGAAATAGTATGTAAAACTTGGCAATCTAACTCAGGTCAGTAAGATGTGGGACTAGCTGATTTTGGTTGTTGGGGGAAGATTATGTGAAGAGTTGGGGGAAGACTATGTGCTAGTACTGATAAATTTAGAGATTCTGTAGCACTGATGTTAATGTTTTCAAATTAAAGTTACTTTTTTGAGTCTTTTCCTAGACTTTTCTTTTTGCATAATTTTTATCAGCACCTAATCTCAATAAAAATAATCTCAGATGTTGATGATGGATTTATAGATAGCTGCTAGCCTTTCAGTTTACATATGTGTATATATAAACATAGATATGTGTATATAATTTTTATGTGTATATATGTATAAAGCAATTTTACAGTGAAAGAATCCATTAATGGTTTTATTGTTTGTAGATAGATTAAGTAAATATTTTTCTTCATTTTTTCTTCAGAGAACATATTTTAACTTTTTTTTTTTTTGCTTTCAGACAACTATTCATGCAGTCATGAAAACTCTGAATGGAAAAATTTATAATGAATTATCTCAGCTGTCTGAAATAGTGGAAAATTTTCTAATTTAATTTCATTGCCTTTATGCAAATCTAAGAAATATAGGCATATCCTAATTCCTTAGCAAGATACTCCCATTGCACAGTAATATATTTCTTTTGCAATTTTGTTGCTGGCCACCAAGTGCTCCTTAGTTATTAAATATATTTGGAGATTTGCTACAAACTTGAGGAAGAAATTAGCTCCTACGACTGACCCTTTTTTTTTTTTTATGATAGTTTTATTTAAGTTTATATATTTTATGTCTGGTTTCTACTTGTATGTTTTGTGATATGTGGAAGAAGATTTACATTGAACTTTTGTTATATGTACGTTGTTTTCATTATATAGACTGCTTGAGAATAGTGCGCTCCTGGGTGATTTTGAACATGCTACAATGAAAGGTGAAACTATCGTCCTTGGAAACACCAGCTAGAGGTTTTATGGACACTCTGTCTGACCAGCTATTCTCATGTCATGACAAAATTCAGCAATCAGTGTTGAGTAAAATTACTAGAAGGCAATAAGACTTTGGTTATTATGGTTATCAGTCATTTTTTCTTTTTCTCTCTTTTTTTTTGTTACAATTTAAATTCCCAATTTCAGGAACAATTTATTAAAATCAGGTATTTAGCCATTCATAATCATTTCAATAGAAGCGTTTGTTGGATAAGCATCTAGCAATATGACTGAATTTGACATTGAGAAATTAATCTGCATGTTTGTTACTGAATATTTGAGTTGGCAAAAATCCCTTTATTAGATACATTGTAAAAAGCATGCATTCACAATTATTGCTGTTACTGTTCCATTTCTGTGTCATATGCTTGCTACTTGTAATTTTTTATATAAAAATACATAAAAAAATGTATAATAATTTCGTACCTTGAGTTTAATGGCAATGTTTTCTTTTACCTAATTTATCAGTACTGTGTAATTTGTGAGACTGAGCTCAAAAAGTATCTTCTAGGAACTTGAAACCCAGATACAGTAGGAAATCATCTGTCTCCCATCCCTCACTTACCGAAAAGCAAAATACATTTTTTTTTTGATATTTTAATGGATTCATAATACATAAAGCTAATCAATTTCAGTTCAAAGGTTTGTGATAAACAGTGTGTTCAGTTCTGTACTCTTAATTAATTTATTTCCATGGTAATTATTAAGAATTTTGTTTCAGTGTGGTAGAGTGGCAGATATTTATCAGTTGCACAAATGCTGTGGCTAGGTTCCAATTTTAGAAATACAGATATAAACCACTTCCTTATGCAAGATAAATTATATTCGTATTTCAAGCTACATACATTAGCAACTGACACCAAAATTACAACTAAGTTATGTTATTATAGGTTGAAAAGCCACAATTATGTAAAGTTGAAAGTCCTCATATTTAAGAACTCAGTAACCATGCATAAAATCATAGTTTCATTATCTATTTAAAGTGTTATCTTCCAGATTCTGTTGTAAAACAAATCCCAGTTCCTTCTTAAACATCTTGTATCATTCATGGATGCTAGGTTTCTCTGTAGAAAAATGTTGCTAGATTTACTGAGAAAAACATAAAGAATTCCATGTATCTTCCCAAAGTATAAAAAGATGGGAAAATAGAAAACCTAAAAAATTGACATAAAAAAGTAAGGAAATCTGTATGAGCTGTTTAAATATATAAGACAAAATTTGTATAACTAAAAATACAGAAACTTTGATTTCTCAAGTGTGATTTAGGACTGATATGAAAAGATGAAGAGTTTCAGGTATTTGACTACTTTTTTTGTACACTATATTTACAATATATTTTGCACCACTTGTTTTTAGCTTGATTAAATTGTTTGCTATCACATATTAGCTGCAAAAAACACTCCTTTGTCCTCTGCAGTCATTGAGAGTCATTGAGGCATCCCTCAGTTACATGGGTTTGTAACATGCACTAATAGTTCATTTCCAGATCAATATCTCTTTACAGTTCATATACTTTATCACTGCTTTTCCCTTAATCCTCATCACCCTTTCTTAAGTATATTATGTTAAGATATTTGCCACATCCATTTTTAAATAAAGGAAGAATGGAAGACTTGTTAGGAGAAGTGTGTATTCAGCCAAACACATTTATGTATATTTATAAAGATTTGCTAATGGAGACAGTGTATAAATAAATATATAAGGAGAAATCTAAATATTAATTTAGCTTTGGATGAATTGCTCTGTTTTCAGAAAAATGCTTAACTCTTGGTTTTTAAAAATGCTATATATTTAAGTGCCTAAATCCCCTGAGACACAGGTCTAGTCCCTCCTGGACAAGTTTACAATAAAATTAATTTTAAGATTCGTCCAGTGAAGTGCTGACTGAAAGAACTGAACTGGTGAAGACATGGATTTTAATAATTACATTGCATGCACATCTTTGTTTTTTTTAAAAAAAATACCTAATTGTGCAACAGAAAAAGAAGGGAGTAACATAAAAACCTGTGTACATAGAGCAAGTCAAGCAAAGTTAGAAAGGTAATGCTTACTTGATTTTGGAAACTCTTTTAGAAATATGTTGTCTGGTAGTTAGGTATACCCTTAAACAGAAGCAGCATTGTAAATTACAAAATATCTGTATGCTGGGGAACAGGGTCAATTTATATCTATTAACAATATAAAGGAAAATAAATTCAAACCCAGATTGAATATTGTAATTGAAATATTATGTTTAAAATATTCAATTCCAAGGAATTAAATGCTTTATATAGTCAGTAAATAATAGCTTAGTCCACTATACTGCAAATAGGAAAAAAACCTTTTGTTTCATATCACACAACAGTAGGGTGTCTTAATGTAAAACTCAAAATATTAAAATAAAAGGAGTTGTTGCTGGAAGTAAACAGCTTTCCTTTCCTATGAGTATTTTCTATTATTATGAAGCCACTCTTTTAAAAACAAAAGGCAGTTCAAACAAGCTTTCCTTTTATGGAAAGAAACTTTGGCTTGGTAAATTACATAGCTATATGTGTTAATACTGTATAACACAGTAATTCACAGTAAATTAGCTGAGCTGGTAATCTTGGCTTCATGTATTTTACCTCATGTTAGCCTTAAGCTAAAACTAAGAATGGTATTTACTAGATCATTTTGGTTTGACTGATGCAGTGTGTTTGATCTACAGTTATGTTGACAGTATGTTTATTTCTCATATATTTTTTAAACATTACGTTTTGTTATAGTGCATTGCAATATTGTTCATAGTTTTGTGTTTTTGTTTTTGTTTTTTTATTTCCTACCCCCATAGGTGTAGCGTTATGTATGTACTTTTCTTTTTGTATGATAGTTGTTGAACAACCACTCCCAAACATTTTTTCTCTGCTCCAGGAAATATGGCTTTTTCAGTTCGTGAAGTCTTTTCTGCAGCACCATTTCAAAACCTGCAGCATCATTTAAAAACCTTTTGTAAAGTCCATTTTGTAAACTATTCTCATTTATAGCTTTTCTCTCTTCACAATTGCTTGAAGAAAAAAAGCCACTCTATTCTGATAAATGTTAGTACCTTATTTTTCTATTTTTCCCAGTTTTTGTGCTGGAGATACTCTCTTGAACCTAGCAACGATGTAACCACTGAGAGGGAATAAGAGAAAGTAGGAAGGTTTCCTGCTCAAGAGAAATTGCTAGAACAAAACAAAGAAACAACAGACAAAGAAAAGAAACACAGAAAGATATCATAATTAGAAGAGTATGAAATATTGTTGCTCATACACATTTCCAAATTTGCAAAAACATATAGGACAGATTAATTCTTCGCCCACCAAATAAAAATGTACTGTCCATGTCCAGCTCCAAGAAACAGGATACCTGTGCTTTATAGAATACTACAGACAAGAAGTTGGCCTTTTGTGCTTTTGTGTTGTACTTTATGTGTGCCTCCCTTCTGCCACAAAGATATTCCAGCTGAGAGTGCACAACTGAAGTCCTAAGGGATACAATGGACAAAAACTGCACAGGTCCTTTGAACACAGAAGTCTGTATCTGATCTGAAAGTATTTTATCTCCTCACTCCTGACTCAGCATTTGATGTCTAGTCTTGGACTCATGACTCCACTGCTCTTCTTCATCGTTACCTTAGGATCATCTCTCTTTACTCTTTAATGATTGCTTTACATCTCTATCACTGCTGCCTTTCATTTCTGCTCACAGTGAATTTAGTTCTGTTCCCATCTCTCCTCAAAATTCACTGAAAACGCTGGAATCCTAGCAGCTCACTTACCTTGTGCTACTGTTGCATTCCACCTAGCTCTTTCCCATCGATCACTTCAGAGCCATCCTAATTGTACCTTGCCTATAAACAGCAAAATGAAAACATGAAATCTCAGCATATCCTGATCACCCTTAATTCATGTAGTGCAACAAAAGCTATGAAGGTGCATTGGACTGGACTGGAGTATGGGCTCATTAAGGGTACTGGATTTGCATTTTAATGACTGTGCATCAGTGTTGTCTGGGCTGTCTACCTCTCGGTTGACATGTCTGCTCCTGTGCTAGCCATACCTCAGTGTGCATCCATCCTTTTTCTTCTCATAGATTACACCATTTTCAAATAATTTCCAGCCCTTCTGTGTTTCCTTATCTACTTTATTTATATTAGTATGTACCACCACACAACATAAATCCTTGCCTTAGCCTCCTTCACATACCTATTGAAACAGTGCCTAGCCTGGCAAACACCTGCTAGTGATGTGGCAGAGCTATAATCAGTGTGGTAAGAACATCAGCTACCAGGAGAAGCATGAGTTGCTGCTTCCATGCATTTTCTTTGCCAGGAAAAGGAGCTGTGCTGATCCGCAATCTCCCAACAAGGTCACTATGGGAACTAAGGGAAGCTGCTCTCCCCTTCAAGCAATGAATCATAACTAGGAGTAGAGAGACAATTTAAGAAGCCAATGAAGAAAAATGGAAAGAATGATACTGCTCAGATTTTTTTACCAAAGTAACAGGTCCAACCAAAACTGTGCAGCAGCATTTTATCTCTTCATTCTCAGATAAAGGAAGACTGCAATTCAAGCCTTCTTTTTTCCAGGGAGAAGGATGCCACAACTGTGAGTACTGACTCTATCCAGAATCTGGAAAGACTTAACAGCTTCTTGTGTAAATGTAGGCAGACAAGGACTTACAGGGCCTATGAGGGTAATCTTGTGCTGCCACATATAGCATCTGCAACACCTAGTTATTTAGATCTTTTAAGTTTTCTATTCTTCAGTTGATGTTCCTCAGCTCCAGTGAGATACATAAAAACACACTCAACTATTTAAAAAACGGTAGCTTTACGGGAAAGCAATTACTTTGTATTTAATGTAGTTGGATATGAAAGGTAACCATGGTGCTTGCTGAAGCTATTTTGGGGAAAAAAAAAAAAAAGAGGCACTCTTTTTGCACAGATCCCTAATAAATATATCTGGTTAAATGAACCATGCAGTTGCATCAACTGCATTAGTAAATGAAAAAGCTGTCCATCCTAGATTTTGCCTATAAAACTGCTTATAAAACTGCTTCATGGTCTAGTCACATTCTTCCTCTAGATCCTGCTATTTTTTTCTGAGTTCAGTGAAAATTTTGGTTTGGAAAAATGGTTTCATTGAAAGTGAATGACTTTTCCCAGTTTTAGTGAATCAAGGAATATTATTTATATGGGGAAAGGAGAGCTTCATTCTCTTTTCTTAGTGCTAGAGGCTTTTCAATATGGAGCAGCATAAACTGCTTTCTCCCTTCGTTTGAAAAATCAGTGATTTAAAAAAAAATAATGCTCTGTACTTGATTTGTAAGTTTGAAAAAGGAAGTAAAACAATTAAAAGGAACAACAGAAATCTAAAGTAAGCATATTTTTCCAATGATCAATAAAACAATAATATTTTAACTTGTAACTGTTAAAGACTAACAGTTGAACCCTTAGTTACTCTACAAAACCAATCCTAAGCCCAATTTTTACAATAAATTTCACATTATCACAAGATGAAGTTCAGCTGAAGAATATGAATGATTTATATTTGCATACCAATTTCAAATTATAAATTTAACATTTAAAAATCTGTATCAAGGAGCTGGCATCCTTTATTTTAAATACAACTGATTTTCCTGGTCAGAAAGAATTACTGTCTTTCTTATTTATTTATTTTTGTTTCCCAGAACCAAGTCTCTGCATTTAAGGTTTTTGTTGCCAAATGGAAGAAATTTTTAATCCCTTTCTAACTTTTCCACTCCCACATTAAACTGACTGTTTTGGTGTAGAAAACACCCATGGGTAATTTTGTTTGATATTCTAAGCATATCTGGCACCTCTTTTGTAATGAAACAGTACATTACTGCTTTGCCTGCAGGAGGAATTTCTCACTGTTAT